ATTCTGCAGTTGTTTTCATGTGCACATTGTTATTCACATAAGTAAAAGGCATTCCTATGTGTAGGGTGGAGGCCTTGGTGTGTATGTCTCAGAGGCTGCGTCTACACGAGATGCTACTGCGCAGTAGCAACAAGCTATTCATGGCCTGAGAGTAGCAACCAGAGTCTACACATGCAGCAAACTGCTCACTTGTTACTGTGCAATCACTTAGTACTTGCATAACCAAGTACTAAATGACTGCACAGTAACTAGCATTACTGCACAGTAGTGTCCCCACATCATTTTTTCTGATGCAGTAACAACAAACTACTGCTTGGTATCTTGTTATTACTATGCAGTAGCATCGCATTATGCAAGTACTAAATGAGTACTAATGACAATAATAACAACTGCGCCGTCTGCCACTCATATAGATGCAGCCAGAGTTCAAGTGAGAGGAATTCAGTCCTTGCAAGTGTTCAAGTATTTACCAAGCAAGTTGCCCTGTTCATAAGGGAGATTCACAGGTTGTCCAGAGATGCATCTTAATTTACCCATTAAGTAGCTATGGCAACAAGGCTGTGAAGATACTTGTCCATTTACAATATGGGCTTTTAATGAAAAGATTATAAAAACAGTATTCAGAATCTAATCTGAAAGTGTCTTCAAATAACCATTCAGTCATTAGCAATTAGTTTTTTCTTTGTGCTTTTTAAATTGGGAAATTAAAGAAGATTACAACACTTCTGAGATCCAGTAAGATCTAAGCCCAAATTCATCTCTGTCACTTTTTCTATAAACTCTTAATTTCTCTCATTTAATAACTCCTTAAAGATCATCACTGAGTGATTTTAGAATTCCCTCCTAAGGGAGTAAAAATCCGTTTCAACTGACAAATGCACAAGGCGATGATTTGTTAGTGACTCCATTTGCATTTAGGGGCTTACAACTAGAAGGGAATTCCCAGCTCATCAAGTCCAGTCTCCTGCTGTTACCCACATTGTGTTGAGCTCCATCTCTAAAAGGTGGGAGTTTTGCCCCTGTTTCTTCCATATGAAGGCTGTTCCAGAGACTTATTGCTCTGTTGTATTTTCTCACAAACAACACGCATCTTATTTTCCTCAATATCAGACCCCCAAGACTGGCAAACCATAGGCTGCGAAAGCAAGGAAGCGGATTTTCTGACCAGCATAGAAGCATCCTTTTTGATTCCTGCTGCCATCTCTATACTTGTTGCAGTTTGAATTCAGCTTCTTTTTTCATGGTTGAGCAGAACTGTACATAGTATTGCTAAGGAGACCTCACCAGGGCCTCACACAGTGTCACTAATACTTACCAGTTTCAACTGAAACACCTTCTGGATGCATTGGTGGGGATCCCATTTGCCTTTTTCACAGTGCATCTCATTGGCAACACATGGTCATTCTGTGATCAGCAGAGATCCTGGCTTGCTGTTTAAAAGTGGCAAATTCTCTGATTTTAAGGGAAACAAATCCCAAATTGTCTGATTTAAAATACCCCAAATCCATACTTTTCTGCTATTAAAATGAAACACCACTATTTACATAGATATCGGTTGAACACAATGTTTAATTGATATATTTAAATTTTTAAAGCTATTTGGAAGCCTACCAGTGCCCTGGATTTGTTTCTTGTGACCTGGAAAATCAGAGCTCCCCGTCCCCCTTTGCTCACCAGGATGCAGGTCCATCTGCAACTGTCCCCCCGGCTGAACAACCCTGATATGCAGCTGCTCTGCTCCTGCCCATGCCATTTGCCCCTCACTCCCAAGCCATAGCCCCACCAGCTCTGCTGGTACCCTCACTCCCAACCCACAGTCACCCGCCCTGCCCCTCACTCCTGACTCACAGCCCCATGGCCCTGCCAGTGCCCCTCAATCCCAACCACAGGCCCCAGCCTCCCCATGCCCCTCATTCCCAAGCCACAGCCCCCGCAGCCTCTCACTCCCAACCTGCAGCAACCTGCCCCCCCGCCCTGTCAGAGGTGGACCCTAGCTGCCCCCCCAACACCAGCAGGCACCTGCAGTCCCTCACACACCCATTCCTTCCATGCACACACACACACACATGCCCAACAGTTCCCAAGAATTGGCCCTCCAACCCTCACCCCCCCCCCCCA